GATTGTCCTGCTTCATATAAAATGATTTATAACCATATTACTACATCTGACCTCTTTTAATACGTAAAAATACCTAATTGTACGTATTTCAATACTATTAGCATAATAAAACAAATTGCTTAAACACATTTAAATTGCTGTTTTAGACAATAAGGACTTTGATAATAATATTTTAAAAAAACATTGTTGAATTTTGACTAAAATGCATCGTCTAGTATAGTTTTATTTAAACAAAACTGTGTATTTAAATTAAAATTAAAAACTATGAGCGAAAATAATAAGACTACAGTGTTTTGCAATGAGCATTTAATTGGCTAACTATTTAATATGTCATTTAATGTGATCTAATATGATTAATTGGTAACATAATTTAATATGAGTTTAAATATAATCCATTAAAAAAGAAAATACATTTATGAATTCATTTTCTTAACACCTTGTCTAGCATAAAAGATTTAAATCATTAAGCTATATATGAACTTTTTCAATAATTTGGGAAGACAAATTTTGCATAAAAGGAATAAAAAACTTTCTTAAGTTCATAAAAGTCAATCAAAAACTCGTACTTTTACCAATTTCCTTTTTTTTATGTCCCAGAAGAATATTATCTCTTATATTGTTAATTCCTTCTTAAGAAATAATTGATGTAAGCATTAATTTCGTGTATTTACAAATAACTATTTGTGTCTTAATTATATTCAAAATATGAAATTTGTTCCGCGAACATGTTTTTAAATTACCGTTGAGGTGCCCTTTGCATTCTTTTATAATTATCTTAAGATGTAGATTGTCATTCACAGAAAAAACTTTATTTGATTCAAAATTTTAAGACCATAAATAAACGTCAGAATTTTTTTTTAAAAACTAAGCTATTATTATGTTTAATTTCAATAAAATTAGTATGAATGATATTTTAGGAATATTTGATACATATAAAATTGAAATATGTGTAAATCAAATTATCATCTGGCAATGAGCTAAAACTCTTACTTTTAGAAATAAAATATATCATTCTTAAAGAAGGAAAAAGTTTAACTACTTAAGTTGAACTACAGCATCGTGCAATCCAGTTTAAGAAGAATTAATTTAAGCAACAATATGGTTTAACTTGGTATCATATTAATATGGCAGAAAATTTTAAGGATATTACAGTTCAACATAAATCAAACTTCAAAGCAAAAATATATATTTCAAATTTTTTTTTTTTTTGCTGTGGCAAATACATGTCTCCGGTCATGTTAAATAAGACATTTAAAAATAATTACGATATATGAACGAACAGAATTAGTTTTCAAAATGGAGTAAACCAACCAGTGAAGGAACACTACCCAGTGAAAGAACATTACATATATATTGATTAAGAATAAGAATTTGAAAGTTTTTCTTTAGATTTACTAGTAACAACAGCTTACTGCCAAACAATAGGAAGTCATCTAGCAATGTTTTGGATTACCTGGTCAAATAGACTTCCCCGGAAAAATTTTTGAATTTGTTATTATCTCTGCAACACCTTGTTTCTTTGAGAAAATTATAAGGTGAGTGTTTGTATTTCTATGTTTGAAGTGGAATTAATTGCATGTAATAGTTTTATTTTTCTCACTGTGAGAAAGAGAATTCAGAATATAGTTATTGAAGTTACGTTTTATTTTTTTTAAGCATCATAGCATAATAAAGTACTGAGATAAAGGGGTGTTTATTCACTGGATCACCAAAAGATGAAAAACCAGTGAAGGAACAGGTGTTCCTTTACTGGATTTTCTTCCAGGTTAATGAAAGTAAAAGATAAACTTAAATTTTCTTGTACCTTTAGTGATGTTCCGCATCAAAAATATGTTAAAAATACGAAAAACAACTTCTAACCAGTGAGGGAACAGGCATGTTCCTTTACTGGGCATAGATTTCCCAGTGAATGAACAGTATGTGTTAATATGTTGACACTTTAATTTTCAATTCNAATCCAAATTTTTGAAAAAGAAAAAAAATACTTCTTCATTATGTCAAAACACAATTATGTGCCGAGTTTCGTGCCTGGGCGAAGCTTCTGGGGCGATATATTGTGATTACAGACAGACAGACACACACACAGCCGCATTTATTATTATGTATAGAAGAATAAGAATTTGAAAGTTCTTCTTTAGATTTACTAGTAACAATAGCTTACTGCCAAATAATAGGAAGTCATCTAGCAATGTTTTGGAATACCTGGTCAAATAGACTTCCCCGGAAAAATTTTTGAATTTATTATCTCTGCAACACCTTGTTTCTTTGAGAAAATTGTAAGGTGATTGTTTGTATTTCTATGTTTGAAGTGGAGTTAATTGCATGTAATAGTTTTATTTTTCTCACTGTGAGAAAGAGAATTCAGAATATAGTTATTGAAGTTACGTTTTATTTTTTTTAAGCATCATAGCATAATAAAGTACTGAGATAAGGGGGTGTTTATTCACTGGATCACAAAACGATGAAAAACCAGTGAAAAAACAGTTGTTCCTTTACTGGATTTTTTTCCTGGTTAATGAAAATAAAAGATAAACTTTAATTTTCTTGTACCTTTAGTGATGTTCCGCATCAAAAATATGTTAAAAATACGAAAAACAACTTCTAACCAGTGAGGGAACAGGCATGTTCCTTTACTGGACATAGATTTACCAGTGAATGAACAGTATGTGTTAATATGTTGACACTTTAATTTTCAATTCGTGATTACAAAAAAAGTTAACATTTTCCAAGTATTTATATGTTATAATTTCAAGAATAGGCCTGCTTTTAAATATTTGTATGGCTTATAAATTCATAAAGAGCATTAAAAAATAACCAAAATTAAGTGTTCCTTTACTGGGTGTTCATTCAATGGTAAGAGCTGTTCCTGTACTTGGTCTTCTTACTACTTGCTATTTGAACCTCCAAAACATAAAAACAATATTATGTAAGTTCTCTACAATTTTTTTACATAATTTTCTATCAGTAACAAATATATTGAAACTGTTATTTAACTAAAATTACGAATTTTGAAATTAATATGATTTTTTTAAAAGGCAAGCGAAGCTTAAGTGTTCCTTCACTGGTTAGTTTAACCTATGAGACTTTATCTTCCCTAGATATGCATGCCAAAAACTTTTCATTCCACCTAAAAAAATAACTGGTAATTTATTATTCAACAAGATAACATCAATAAAATATTCAAATATTTTGCTTTATGGTATTAAAACGGACGGAATTAAACATGTGCAGGAATATTATTTAACAATAGAAAAAACATACTAGTATGGACGGATTACAGACTATTCCCGGAGGAGAATACAAAAACGATTGTAAATAAGTTACACTTTACTATCTAAAAAACACTCATGTATAACTATTTTCGAAACATATAATGGATGGAGAAGATTTCATAAATAAATTTTTTGTTTAATATATAATAATAAGTGTACATTTATAATGCTGTTGAAACATGTTTCTACGTTTTACTCATTTTGATCTGTTGCGTGCGAACTTAAAAATGACAAACTATTAGCAAATGTATATACAAATAATTACAGTATTTAATAATTACTGAAATTATTACAAATAATTACAGCACCTTTCCTAAAATTATTTCTATTTCAAACACCAATCACAATTAATGCTTCAAATTTTTATAGAGCATCGGACTTCGTCAATAAAATGTTTTACCATATTGAGAAAAAAATTACGAAAATATTGCCTTGATTCGCAATTTTTAAATAAAATAAGACGATAAGCTTTTGAAATAATACAATACACAATAAGCTTTTGAAATTTTGAATTGAGCCTTAAAGCGTTTTGTGATATCTTTGGGAATTTTCACAAACGTATTGCAGACAGTTTTAAGAAGGTATTGAACATGGAAAACTTTCCTGTATGAGAGAGTGGGAAACGGCTTGAGGAATTTTTGAACCTTTTACGTAAATCTATATTCTATATATAATTTTCACACGAAAATCAATTTCAAACTTATATATCAAGGCAATATTTCTGTAATAATTTATGAACAAAACACGTTTTAAAAAAAGCTACTAAAAATAGGCAAGATATCTTCTTATTTATTTTATAAGAAGTATTTTCTTTAATTAGTGAAGTTTATTTTTTCGAAATAAAAGTTTATGTAAATCTTATCATGTAATTTCATGAAATATTTCACGTCTTTATAATAAAAATCTTAATTTGAATACCTATATAATAATTGTCATTTTTGTAACTGATTTTCATTCTAAATAACTAATTGTTCCATATAAAATCAAATGAAATAATCAAAAAATCTTTACTATTATTATAAGTACTTGACTGGCAACAAAAGTCTAAACTTTGAACCTTTCTTAAATGTAGAAATGACTGATTAATTTTTTTATTATATACTTTTTTTAGTTTTTACGAAATAGGGAACTTTATGAAAGTTTAATTGTTACAAATATTTGAATATATTTGAACTCTAGCATATTAGATTTGAATAAAATAAATTTTAAAAGTATTTGAATTTTAAAAAATTATAAACTAAAAACAAAAGCTTGAATTATGTATTTATGCATGATTAGATCAACTCTAAAGATGCCAAAATATAGTTTAGTCTTACTATGTGAGAAAATAAAACACTATTTTTTTTCATACAATAGGTTATGAAATTTTTTCTGTAATCGCAATCACAATTTATCTTTGAATTTATTTTTAATGCGCAACTCATATAGTCTTGTAGTAGTTAAATAGTTCTATTAACTAAATCCTAATAAATGTAATTTTCAGTAAAAACCAGATAAGATTAAATGAATGAAAACTTTCTATTAAAATTTCTGTGAAGTTAAATCTTTTGAATTCTGAAATATTTGACTTTGACTTACAATAAATATTCAAAATCTATTCAAAACTATACCTGAATAGTGATAAATTTTACAATCATGTGCAAAAGAAAGTAGATAAAACTTTTTTCTCTCAAGCATCAAGCATACCCTGCATAATTTCAAACATTTCTCTCATAAAATAAATAAAACTCACTTTAAAACATTTTACAGAAGTAAACAAAACATTAAAATATCATAAATTAAAATAGTTATTATGGGCTCACATTGCGCAAAGAATACATTCCCTTACACGGAAAGGAATGATACTTCACAAAGCTTAATTCTGACTATATCACAAATATTTCTTTCATAACTAGAGTTCTTACTCTTCTTTCTCTCTCTCTAGTCTTTCTCAGTTAATTTCACAGCTAAGTTTCGCCGTTTCAAACTGCACTAATGAAATATTGTTGTCTTAATCCGTTACCCATAGCAGCTTGCTCTTGATTTCGTGTTAAAGTAACTTGAATCTTTTTCTTTAGCAATTCCTCTCGCAAACTTCTAACATCTTTTTCAGCCATCGATCGGAGCTGTAAAGATCGTTATTATAAATACATTGATTTTTAAATCCCTACATAATACTTTATATGTTTCCCATATTTTCGAATTAGTAAAAATTTTAAATTATATTGACTTAATATTTTGACTTAAGTATTAAAACAAAATTCTATAGAATTAATAACAGAAGTAGCAAAAGGAGCATTTATAGTTAGAAAGACAAAAAAAAGAAATAGTTTCAGTTGCATTAAATAACAGAACAAAACACTCAAGGTTTTATTTTGTATTGAAAAATAAAAAAATCTGATCAAACATTCAGTTAAAGAAAGAAGTCATGAGTCCCTTTTAAACTTTTTTTTATTTATGGTGCGAGATTTGCAATTGTAGCTGATTTTAAATTACTTAAGTAAATTACTTTTACCTTCTATTTAGCGCTTAAATACTTCAGCACTAGATTATTTTTGTCGTGACTTATTAAAAGCCTTGGATCTTTTTGATCAGATAATAATTTTATTTACAATAATTTTATTTACTACTTGATCGTTACAATTTTTAATTGAATTTAAACCTTCTATTTCTTGTAATAAACACTAATAGTTAAAAATTATCTAAGAAATATATCGTTTTGTATTGTTTCAGGAAAAAAAATTTCTAAGAAATATAATGCTTCAAAAATATCAAATTTTATTGATTAGATAAAGAAAACATAAAATCCAAAATTTATAATAAATATAATAATGAAATGAAACTTAATATTTATGAGCAAAAAGAGAATATGCAACTAAACATATATATCCTGAGAAAGAAATTATCAATATTAGTTTATGACAAATGCGCTAAATAAAAAACGGACCAACTTTAATAACTTTTGATCTAATGATCAGATCTTCATGTTCTAAGACTCAATCTTGATTGTTTGAGGGGGTCATGCTAATTAATAAGTGCTTAAGGTATTTAAAGCTATGAAATCAGACACAAAAACATACTTTCTCTGAATAAACACTTGGGAAATATGGTCTCTTTAATGTTAATTTTACTTTTTGCGCATTTCTCCAAATCTCGAGAACTTTTTGAGCCATCTGAAACATTTTTGCACACAGTTATAAAATTCATTTATCCAAAGATAATTCCGTGCAAAAAATAAATTTTAGTAAATATTTAGTATTTTTTATTATTTTATTTAAGAATAGTAAAAAAATTTTGAATAGTAAGGTCTGCAATTTTTTACATAATTTTAAAATGCGTAATTTTACATTGCAAAATATGAAATTAGAGCGAAAACGCTTCATATTTTGTATTTTGCCGCGTAATTATCTTTGGATAAACGAATTTTATAATTCTGTGCAAAACTTTTTCAATTCGCTTAAAAAGTTCATGAGATATAGCGAAATACGCTAAAAGTAAATTTAACATTAAGGGGTTAAAACTTTGGAGCGTTCTCCTGAGCAAACTATTGGGACCATATTTCCCTCTATATTTTGGGGGTATCACATCTGAATTCATCGAAAGAGAAGTATGTTTATTCCGAGAAAGTGCGTTTTTGTGTCTGATTTTGTAACTTAAAATATCGGTTGCACTTATCAATTTGTATATTTGAAGTCACCCTCTCAAGGTATTAAGATTGAGTCCAAGAACGTGAAGATTCGATCATTAGAACAGAAATTAATCAGTGTGGCCCGTTTTGTTCTTTGTCCCACTGTACAATAAATTTTGAAATGTAATGAGTCTTGTTCTAGACCATGACTTTACCTTGTTGAAACTTTATTTTTGCATGTCAAATTTACACTTGAAGCACTCATATGATGAATATATTTTAGATTCAACTGTATTGATCAATTTAGTTATAACCAGAACAAGAATTCAATTATTGCATCTTTTTTTTAATATCAGTTATGTGTCATGAATGTGGTCTGCATATGAAAAAGTAAATAAATGCTAATAATTTAGAATAATTTGAAAACTCATTACTATTTTCTCTCACGATTTGGCATTTTTCAAATGTTTGTATGACTAGCCTTTTATTTCTAATGAGGTATTTGAAGCTAGAGTTATAAAAAATTATGTTACCTTCACTTCAGTGTGCAACTTTAGTCTTGTTCCTTCCACTCTTCTTGTAAGATCTTCAATTTCTTGAAGCAATCTTGCAATCATTATTTTGTAGCTCAACTGAAGAGAAAAATAATTTTACTTCAATCTGATTCTAATCATATAAATATAAACCCTCAATAATTAAATTTATTTGATATAAAGTTTTCTTCTTTATAACATGATATAAAACGTCACTTCTCTTAAAAGACAAATTAACTGATTGGATTTTAAGTTATACTTTTTTCTCTAAAGAAAGCAACAAAGAACTGTTTGAAATATGAAGCAATATTTTGAAGTTCAAATTTTAAATCAATATGATTTCAGCATGACATTTAGTAGTTTTTGTTTTCGCGTAAAATGAAATGCAAGATTATTGTCTCCCACAAAATTCACTCATAGTTTTGCCAACTTATTAAATTTTGTATTGTTTCATGTGTTTGTTTAAATCAATTTTGAGAACGAAAGATATTTAGAAAAGGGATTTTGGTGTATTCTGTGTTCTAAATCAAAACAATAAATATATAACATCAATATTCCGAAAATTTTCCGAAGTGTGACAAATGAAAGAAGTTATTGAATATGCATTTATAATTTATCTTACTTCGTGTCTTGATTGCAACAAACACGAGAAGCAGCTATAAACTTTATAACGATATATATTTTATTTATAAAATTATTCTTTTAAAATGTTTTGCTTTTGCAATTTTTCTATTTGGGTTTTTGTGGTAATTTAAATGTTTATGTTATTAGAGAAGCTACGTTTTGCCCTTCTGAAAAATGTTAATTATCAGTACATACACCATTTATCTTTTAATCAAATTTCTGGTTTTAACATTATAGATAACTCAGGGTTCAGCATTGAACCAAATTTAATTTATAGTTTGAGCTTCATACTCTAACGGCTATAAAGTGTAAACTCTTTCTTATTTTAGTATCATTTTCGAATTCATAATTCCTTTTATCTTCCAATTTAATTCTAACATCTTTGACACATCAGATGCACTGTCAATCTATAGAGAAAGAATTTCTAACAGCTTGCTTGTATTTCAAATAAGGGAAGTTCATGATACCAATTATGTTTCTCTTGGCTGATTGATAAATGGTTTTTACAGATAAAAACAAGAAAAAATTTGAGTTTAAGTTTTTTTTAGGAGAATTAAAATTAAAAGAACTTATTTAATTATTAGTTTTAACCTTTACCTAGCTCTAGTAGAATTTTATCGATATTTGAGGCATAAACTATTAGCTGCATTTTCAAATTTCTTATTACGAAATACGCTGAAATTGTAGCATTAGAAAGTAATACGATTAACAATTACAAACTTTAAATGTAAAAACTTATTAAATATGCAACAATGTAAAACACAATTACAGCTATATTAAAATTATAAACAGACTCCCTGGAATAATTAAAATTTCTATGGAATCTATTTACGTACTCCAGCTGAATAAAAAAAATCTTGTACATATCTAAAGCACATTATAGGAAAGATATTGATCCTTTAACAAACCCGAAGTGGACATATACCTGCCCAATATCTTGAATATAAATATTTCTTGTAGTTTATTTTCTTAAGCTAAATTCTAAATTCCATCTTTGAAATAGTTTCAAAGATTTGGGGATAAAGTCTAATGATTTGAGGGAAATTATGAAAGTTTTTGCGATGTATTGTAAATACACATAACTTTTCCAGGAAGATGGTATCCAAAGTTGCCCTAGCATCGGGCTCAAAAGTCTTCTCACCTGCGAAATATGAGTATCAGATGATTTATATATTCTATTAGGACCATTTATTTGACTACAGTTTCGAAGTATCTTACAACATATAAGTTTTAAATGGTATAATTTTGTGAATATTCCTTCTTCTTTGCAATAAAATGTAATTCTTACAATCTAAAGACTAAGTAAAGGAATTAAATATAGCAATAAAGAAAACGAAGGAAATAAAAATAAAAATATGACCACCGAAGCCGACGTCTTCAGGGGTTACCGGCATCGGAAGCCATAAAACAAACTAAAGTATTGCTTAAATGTTGAATATTTAGGTTTCAAAATTGATATTGTTGATAAAATAATCAAAATTGGTGTTTTTGATGAAAGGAAAGCTTTTAAATTTAAAGTTATTTTTTTCTGCAACTTTAAAACCAATCTGTGTAATAAAATTTTTAAAAATTAAGTTCTTTCACAATTGGTTAGGATTAAAAATATTTGCAATAACGCTAAAAGTCTTAAGGAGGCTGTAAATAATTTTTTTAATAATTTGAGTAATAATGATTTTCCTTTTAACTTTTGTAATGTTAATTTTTTGATTAAGAAAATGATTGAAGAATACTAGATTTTTATTTCTTTTAACAGGGCGCAAATCAAGTCGTAACTGAGCAGCCCCAGTTAAGCATTATATTAATTTGTTACGTAATCTGCTCTTTTACTTTACTTCTTTTTTTTCAATCTGCGCATTTTAATAGAGGGGTTTGTTTTCTTTTGTTTTAAGTGTTTCCTTTGCATTTAGTTTGCTTGTGAAATCGCTGTTTGACCGGTTTAATGTGAGTTTTTATTTTCTCAAGTTTTTGTTTGAATTTCTTTTCTGAATTGGTTTTATGTATTTCATGCATTTTTTCCTGGACTTAAGAAACAAAACCTTCGGGGTACCGAGAGAGTTACTTTTGACATTTAATTTTGCCTCTCTCTCAGTAGAAAAGGTTTTGTTTTATGGCCGATAACCCCTGAAGACGTCGGCTTCGGTGATCATATTCTTATTTTTATTTCCTTCGTTTCCTTATTGCTATATTTATTCTTTCTTTTGAAAATTCTGCTGCTTTCAAGCGCGTTTCTTTCAAAGAATGTTTTGTCAATTTGCAATTGAATATTTTGTATTATTTTTCTAAAATAATTAAATTAATCCTTTATTCAAATTTAATCCTATTTTAAAAACTTTTGTATTTAATATCATATGTTTGGATGAGTTTTCATTTAACTTATTAAAACCTTACATTAGTTCTCAAGAAAGTTATGTTCTTCTTTAAAACTTATACTTTGTAACTACGCTAAGTAACAAACTGTGAATAATACTCAAATTAAACGATCGATTTCAAAATATATGCTTCACTAACCTTATTGGAGGGTCTCTCAGTTTTTCCAGAAATAGTCAACAAAGCCCAGACGCCAGCTTGGACTTTCGCCAAGAGCTCTCTGTGCAATTTTTCAAGCTCCTGTCTCAGTCTGGAACACTCCTCCTCCAATCGCGGAGTAATTTTTTTCGCTTCCAAATACCGTTTCCTCCACATTTCTCGAACTGAAACAACAAAAACTCGGGGTTATTAGCAATATTTATCACAATAGAAATTGAATGTCATGCAACATGGAGAAAAAATACACAGACATGCATCAAAAGTTGGTTAACAAAATAAAGCAAGAAAGGAACGATTTTTAAAAATGTGATAATTTTCATTTTTAAGCAAAATAGCATGCTTTTTTTTGTTAGGCTATTTTTTATTAAAAATTTAAAACATAATATATATATATATATNTATATATATTGTTTTAATTTTTGTTAGAAAGTACTTATTTAATTATTGAATGTCGAAAAAAAGGAAACAGTAAGATGTGATTTGCAATTTGAATTAAACTATTACTCAAGACTTTGCGTGAATTTTATGCAGGTGTTACATGCTATGTGTGTCAAACAAAAAAAGCTGCGAAATTTAAAACAGAAATTTTAACTTACATATTTATAATGTAAATTATTTCTGCAAATATTTTTAAATTATATTTGTAATCATAATTTTAATCACGTATGAACTTTAACAATATCAAATTTTAAGTAATTCAAATTTAACCTAGATTTAAAATTGGCTTGTGCAATAATGCATTACATAACCTTATTTTTCTTTTTATTGCCTTGTTGTTCTTCCAGTTTAGAAATATTCTTTATAACATAATAAATATTTTTGAATCATTAGTTTCTGTGGCATCTTTTCAAATTTAAAATCCAAATAATTCCAAAATTTAAATGAATTAAAATTCAAATGATAACTTTATTAAATGAAAATAAATATAAAAACAATTATTCGCATAAGTACAATTTGTGACTTCTCTAATTTTTTTAAATAATTAGTTTTTTAATTTTTCACAAAAAAATGTAACTTTGTTTATTTAATAGTGTTTCCTGTGTTCAACAAAGTCTCACCATTTAAAAAATGTTTGTGGAGTAAAAGCTAATTATACATAAATCCCGAGCAAATTATACATCCGCCCCTGAGTACCAGTGCGTTTTTTTGTCGCATAATGTCCATGCAAGTACCATCAAATGTTGAGTTGCACTGCACAAGTCATTTTATGAAAATATTTACTTGAAATTTTCTATAATTCGTTCTTAAATATAAAAGCAAGCATGCAACATACAAACAGCTCAACAACTTACATGCAAATAATCACAGCAATACCCATGCAAACTTTGATAATTTTCATGCAAAACGAAATTAATACAAATGCTATTTAATATTTCAACCTTCGGTGGAAAAAAAATCAAGGATTATCTATAGTTTTAATGAAATCCTTATAGAAAGAGCCAAGATTTTTAAGTCCTTATTTGAAAAATGCGTGAAGTTGTAATATACGGAACTTCATACAGATAAGATATATATTTCATTGCACGGAATTTCAAATTTCAAACTTTGTGATGCAGTATAACTTATGAACAAAACGAATAATCTCAAGAAAATAAAGCGGAAAGACTTACATAATAATACAGAAACTTCATTTGCTTAAAAAGTTATAAATAGTGAAAAAATAAGCATGTTTCTAGCACTCAAAAATAAGTTCCCATTCTCAAGACTCGTAAGAGATAAATGAGAACAAGATTTGTAAAAGGAAACAAAAGATTTTAATCAGAAAATAAAAATGGCAAATAAAACTAGAAAACCGTGTTTTTTTTTCTTTTTTTTTCCTTTTTTTTATTTACAAAGTGAAGAATACCCTTTGAATGCTTACAAATAATGCCTCAAATTTACAAAATTAATTTTAAATGTTAATTTTCATTGTAAAAAATTTGATAAAATGATTGTTCGTAAGACTCTGCCTTATTTATTCAATAATACAGATTGACAAAAAGAACTGTGAATTAAACTGACGAGTAAAATATTTAATTAAAAAAATTCTTACTTATTAGCAGTAAAATGCTCTACATTCATAATTGAATGATAAGTTTGACAGTTCAAAATTGGTAATTTCCTAATTCTAGAATTATTCAAATTCTTTGTTTGATCTGAAAAATTCTGTAAAAGCAATGCTAAAAATTGAAGATAATTTGACATTGCGAATTGTTAAAAATTAGGAAGCGTGCTAAACAGTAATATTATTCAAATTTGAAGCAACAAGCACAACGTTAGACAATATTATCATTTCATTTAGTCCTTCTTAACCTTGAAAGAAAATGCAGCTCATTTTAAAACTTTATTAATATTGCAGCTAATTTGTACCATATAGTGTTTCAAGACATCAGACAGATATTATAATTCAACGCTAAACCGATTCATTTAATTTATTTGTGTGTTTGAACCATACTCTAATCTTGCGGCAAAGTATGTTCCAACGCATAAACATCATTAGCATATTTTATTTTATAGCACTCCGAAGGTTGAAAAAACAGCATACATGAAGCCACACTCAGACGTTAAATTTTAAAATCAATAATTAAAAGAGGATACCAAGTTTTTTTAAAATTAAAGTCCAATCCATTTCAACAAAGAAGAAAAAATTAAATATGAGAGATTTTTTAGACAAAGAGAGAGATAGAGAGAGTAAAGAGATGCAATCTAGATAAGTGTGTTGTGCTTGCCTGCCGCGGACTCAGCCCTCCCGGAGAAATTCGGTAGTTTGCTTAAGCAACTGTAGGTCTCACCTTGTTCCCTCCTTTGGTGGGCTCTACTTTGTAGTTGCTTTATCTTTCGAAGAAGCTCCTCTCGCTGACGCTGCCTTAACCTCGTCTCAACTCTAACTTCACTCAAAATGGTCAGTAGACGATCCTCTGAAAAATGAAGCAAAATAAACATATCAAAAAACATTCTTGAAATTTTCCTTCTAAGTGAACAAGAACTCTGAATTCCAGAATATTATATTTTAAATTCAATATTGAGTAAATATTTAAGACATGGAGTAAAAATTAAGATAAAATATTGAGTAAAAATATTGAGTAAAAATATATTAAGTAAAGTTTATTGAGTAAAAATTAAGATGAAATATTGAGTAAAAACATATTGAGTAAAAGATATTGAGTAAAAATTAAGATATTGAGTAAAAATTAAGATATTGAGTAAAAATTTAATTACTGAGTAAAAATTATAATAAAAAAATGTATTTAAATATGAGCGAGAATTGCATTATCATCACCGAAATTCGAAATTAATTAATCTGCTTAAAACGTCAAAACACTTACCACACAATTTGAATAGTTTTAAAACCATATAAAGTTTGTTATAAAACCAGTTGTGACAACCCAAGAGAAAAGAAAATTATAATAAGAGATATATTGACATTAATCTAGATAATGTTCCAAGCATAATTTTTCAGAAACAGTTAAAATAGTACAGGCAGACTAAGTTTTACAACTACGTTTATCTCAAATATTTTCAGAGTAATTGATTTACTTGAGAAAAATCAGATAAAATCAAATAAATGGGATCCATTAAATATGAGATACGGTTAACGGCTTTTTCACTGAGCCATCTCCATTATTTTGTAATTATTGACAAAATGCGATATCTATTGACTGCATAGTATACTTCATGAAATTTAAAAATTGTCGTCCTAACGTGAGTTAATTCACATTTAAATAAAGTTCCTACTCTAGAAGGTTTTAATTTTGTACCTTTTTTCTAGTTTTTTCAATATGAGCAAATCATAAATATAAGTGAAACGCTGATAATGTTTTAGTTATTGGTTATATTTAAAACTGTAAATTTAGCATTAATTATCTACACAAACAATGGCTTTATACTTTGTTTTAACAGAAATAGCGGACTTAATTATGCACCAACTGCTAGTTCCATTTATATAACTAGCTTCAGTTAAGAATGAACTAGTGGTTTGTTTTATTTATTCATTTATTTATTTATTTATTTATTTATTTATTTATTTTTGGTAATAATGTCAAGCTTTTTATAAAGATTATATTTTTTCAAACGCAAATTTTAATTTTCTATCTCTAATGTGGTTAATGTCTTTCTGTGGGTTAATTTGAACTTAAACAACTGATTTGTATCGCCTTTGAAAAATCAGTGTTCAACTCCGTAGCTTTGCAATTTTGAACTCTACCCAAAAGATAGTATACTGGATGTACGACATACATGGCATCTTACAGAATTCTTAGATGAACTAACCCATTTGCATTGTACTGAGAGGAAAACTATAAAAATCCTTAATGATTGTCCCTGTGGCAAGAAGATTCTAACTTATGATCCATCTAATGAGGCAATCTGTCTATCATCTGGGCCATTCCGTTCATTTATGACTTATTTAGGAAAATATTTTTAAAAATACATTTAAAAGCGATACGTTATATGCATTGAACATATATATTAACATTTCAAGCCTGTATAACTTGACAGTGTAGTTTGAATTTTGAAATCGGTATTGTCCCAACCGCTAAATATTTTGCAGTGTAATTTCATGATTTCAATAAAATAAATATTGTTTAAAAACAAAATTCAAAAAAATTATAATTATATTTGAATGAAATAATGTATTCCTGAAAAGTTTTTTTTCTAAACATATCATCAAATGTTAAATTACGAATATTAATTTTTTCTTGGACAACATTGAACACTAAAATTGTTATTACAATTTTACATGAACATTTAAAAATCATGTTTTCTGTATCGAAACAAATTTCTACTAAAAGTATATAGAATAACAAAAAAAAGCTTTAAACTTTGTTTTTAATTAATTACATCAATTAAAATAACCACTAAATCAAACTTATTAATTAAAAAGTAAGCACAGTCTATGAATAATGAAAATGTGCTTGAATTTGAAAAGTAATGCTACATAAATTTTGAAGAGTAACAAACGACATCTCTTTTAGGTTAAAGCCTTAACTTTGGATAAAAACCAAAATCAGACATTAATAATTGCGCAGAATGATGGATAAAGGTATCTAAATCTTACTTGCTTATTAATAATCATGACGTGTAATTTATTTATCAATACGAATATTCCAACAACATACTCAAAGTTAGTCATACAAGTCAGTTTTTATATAATTCCGATATGCACTAAATCTATTGTATTGCTATGTTAGAGCAATCAAAAAATGTTAGAGTTGAGTAGAAAGTTTAAATAAATGTAACATATACTTGATAAAAAATATATTTTTACAATTAATGTTCTTGAAATAAGACAAAAATCGTAATATTATAAATACCAATAACATTTTTATATGGTCATTACAGTCAAAAACTATTACTTTTAATAAGTATTGTTGAAAACTAATACTTCTAATTAGTGTTTAAAAAGATATCTATGAGTAAAGATATGATATACAGAGTTATTAAAATGAATGTATGTCTTAAGACGTAAGATAAAGAACTCGATACAAATATGTCTTTAACAGAAAACAATGATTATAAAATCATTCGTAACCGCGAGCTAAAAATAATTTTATAAGAGTGATATAAATTATTGTTGCTTACGTGTTAATTAGAAATAATTAATCTAAAAATTACTTTCGTATGTGTTTTCTTATAAAGCTAGTTTTATTTATAAAACAAATGTTGAAGTTACAACATTTTACTTTTGTTTTACTTGTATTAAAAAATAATTTTCAAAATCTTTTTACCTGAAAATAATTCTGGTAAATATTGTGGTGGAGTTGGAGTTCGAACCAATGCACAAACTCTTTTTCGAGCAATTCTATTCCTTCCATATCTAGCAGGATTTCTGATGATAGGCAGTGGAAAAATAGGAGTTGTATTACCATCAATCCAAATATCAACATTAGCCACTTCAGACGATAAAGCCTGAGGAGGATAGGGCGGCGTCATCACCACCTGTGCCATTTCGTCGATCTGCTCTCGACTGAGATTGCAAAGGGCTGACCGTTTACCGGAGGCTGCCCTTTTCTTCCGTCTCTGTTTTTGTTGACTAGGGGGCGTGACTCGCCGGTGCGTTTTAATGTAGGGCGCAATTTTTTTATCCAGCCATCTACGATACGCACTCCTTACCTTTTCTTGAATAAAAAGTTCTCCAGCTTTCTTTGCCATTCGAATAACTTGACAAGGGCGGTAGACAGGACGTGATGGAATGTAAACAGGCAAAAGATCGTAACGGCGACAAGTTGCTAAAAAGTCTTCAGTGGCTTTCTCATTGCTGATGCCGTGTTTAGCATTCAGCAATCTGCTTAAATGACCTGAGAAAACGGAAGGAGGGTAGTAAATTGTGCGATATGAGCGATTATGTCGATATTTGCGTGACGATTCCAGGTAATGCCGCCTTTGTATTGGACGTCTGTGTCCAAATCGGGACCGAACATAACCACCAAGATGCAAGCCGGCATACATTCTTTTGCGGTAGAATTTTGGGGCCTGAAGTATTCTGTCCTTTGTAGCAAACATTCCAGACATAGTCGAAAATTAGTTTTCTTCTGGCTTGAAAATATTTTAAATCCACTCTGATTTCAGATATTCTTTGCATACATATTAATTAAAAATAAATATCAAAATAGAGTATTCAATTTTCTGAGACAAGATAAACTATTATCAAAGGTAAAACTGAATTTTAATTCACTAATGTTCTTTACAATGCTATGATATATTTTATATAATATCTTAAATATCTTATATAATGCTAAAATAGCTCCAGTTTTTTCCAGCTATCTTAATGAAACTATTTCTCTCAACAAATACGTCAAGTTATATTGCACATTTGTTGTGAAACTGCATTAAAAATGATTCAAAACAGTATAATATTAATTTCGAATATTTCTACAGAAATTCCATAGATATGCTAGCTTTGCATTCTATCTTGACTTCGTTTTCATGAGAGCTCTAAGATAATTGCTTTATAATTTTTTTTCCTTTGTGAACATAAGCTTTAATCTGAGCAGTAAAACAAAACTTCGAAAGCAATTGTCTAAAATAAATATATTTTAATGTATTCCATCAAACTTTTCTTCGATATAAAAACTTTTAATTGCAAAAATTCCCGCTAGATACTTTTTTTCATCTATAAAAATCTACTCAAATCATAATCTGAAGTGAATTAATTTGCATAAAACTTTATTTCTAAGACTATTTGTCATCAGATCAAATTATCTTTCATATATTCCGTCGGAAAAAAGTTCGTTTCAACGGGAGAATTTGAAAATAACTATATCTTTATGTCCCTCAAAGTGCCTCAAAACAAATCACGTGAAATATTGAAAATAACAAATATCACTAGAAGGCTTTTTCAGAAACAATTAAAAACAAAATGAATCTTTAAAAAAAATATCTATATTTATTTCTAAAAATTCTCAAATTCAGAACAGTATCTCACAATGACTCCTATGAGACGATATTAATCACAAGGATCTTCTAAAATTAAACAAATGAATACATCACCAAATATTTCCCAACTCTGACGAATGTCAATCATATGATACTAGATCTACTTTGGAGGGAAAAAAATTTCTATTTTGAACAAATAATTATATCACCAAATGTTTTCTAAGTTAGAACAACGTGAATCGGATGGTACAATATTTGCAATAACGGATCTTCAGAAGAAAAATCCTTTTGAAAAAAGATTTTAGGTAGGATCCTTTAAAAAGGTAAAAGATCCCTTTAAAAAAGATTTTAAAAAAATAAATATATCGCCAAATATTCCTTAAGTCCGAACAAAGTCTTGGAATCAATCATACGGAACAGTATCAACAACAAGGAATGAGCACACATGTCCAACAAGAAAGGTTGTCGTTGTATAACTACATTGGCGACGGAAATTACATTCAGAAGGTCCACTCCATCATCTTATATCCCTTGCAACCCTTCA